TTTCGCTGACCTCGCGGTTTTTTACCAAAGCGCTTTATTTGGTGGTGTGCGTGTGTGTATGTGTGCCCGTGTGCATAGACGTATGAGGACGACAGAAAACGCACATTCACTCATACACGCACACACATACGACTGTAGCGTCAATTACGATAACTTTCAATCAAATATACACCTGTGTATAAATGCATATATACATATTTGAAAAATGTTACTTAAACTTCATGGAACCGATCCACCGTTATTGCTTCTTTTGGACGGTCTCTTGGGGAAGAGTCAGGTGTGCTAGGGATTATGGACTTGTAATGCACCGATTAGGAATTTTTTATGCACCAGTGAAGAGCAGGAATGAATGTCAATAGCCAATATCAGTTCAGCATTCGCTCTACTTAAGAACTGCTCTCAAAGCCATAGTTGGAAGAGGTACGCCTTAATAACCAGAAGATGAAAAGCAAAACCGAGGAAACGACCCGGCGGTGGCTTTAACCTCTATGTGATCACTCCCTGAAGTGGTTGCAATTACCGACAGAGCTTATCGTTCCCAACGCCACCGATAATACTTCGATGTTTTCATTGTCCTGATCTTAAGATTTATGTCGAATAAAGGCTTTGTGGCAATAGTATTACGGACCAATTTATGGCCTTCAAAGTTGTCTAGAGAAAGATGAAAAATAACAAATGTGTTTGTGTTTAAAGAAGAATTGAAGCGCAATGCGGGTTGTTGGAGCGTTGACACTAAGGCGCAGACAGCCTGATGCTGACCTTTCGAGGGTCATGGGAACCGCAACTTCACGATGTCTTCACTATGCCGATGAGTATGCGCAAATTCATCCAGGAGCTTATAAAGTTGAGCTACGGATCTGCGATTCATTCAGACATTGCATACAAACACGCTTTTACGGCACTCAACATTGGGAGGATGGATAATACGAGAGATCGGGATTACAACTGCATCAAATTCCTGCAAATTTAGCTTGACGATGTAAATAAATTTACTTAGTAATGGGAAAGGATGGAGTTCCATAAAGTTCTATTGCAGGATGAATCAGCAAAAAAAAGGAAATAAGGTAAGGAGCTTACAAGTCATGCAACGCATTAGTCGCGGCGCAGCGCTTTTGTCCCATCACCTCCTTGCTGTCGTCAGCCTTCAAATTGAAAATGTGTACGTTAGCCTTATGGCAAATCAGTGAACAAAAAAGTGGGTGAAGTGACGGTATTCGACGGTGACAAATGAGCGGTGTTTGCATGACAGTTTAAGCTTTATTTCAATTAAAATGATATTGCAGTACTGCACCACTAGAGTGGAAGTGAATTACAACTCTGCGGAAATTATTTTATTCCAGACAAAAGCCTTCCCAATTTGCGAAGCAGTGCATAAAAACATTGATGCTTTTCTTAATATGCACATTTTGCCTTCCTTTGGCGGGTCGCCTCAATAAGAGAACTGACCATAAGTGATAATAGCTTAAGTATTTTTTAATTTACAAGGCGTCGAAATGGAATAAATTAAAGCAAAATGCTCCAACATGCTTGGCTGACTCGTAAAGGCAAAGTACCCAAGCTTCAAGCAGTGCGTATTAAAATGCAAATAATCTCCCAAAATGAGTCCTTTTTTGAATTCTTGCACTAGTCAAGGACAACTAAATTCGTCTCCTTGCGCAAGCATCGCACTTCACATCATCATTCGTTTAATTGCATACTTTGTT